GATGCTGCTTGGCCTGCTGTGTTCATCCAGCCCTGCACCTTGTTGTCTCGGATTCTCCAGCATCTGCAGTTCCTACTATCTCCCACATTCCCATCTGCCCTGATTCATCTGCCTAATAAGAATCTATCTACCTCCTCCTTGAAAATATTCAATCATCCTGCCTCCCCAACCTCTGAGGCAGGGAATACAGTAATCCTGTGATTCTGAAAAAGCTGGCTCACATTTACAGAACATAAGATTTTAAATGAAAGTACAATAATTCTTTTTTTTTTCCATGTGTTTGGTGCATTTTCCAAGTGGCAATGACAAATTCATGATGCAGTTGTACCAGAGGTGTTGAGTGATACAGTTTTGGATCAGAGTCAAATTCTTCAATCAGAATTTTTTTTGATGTATACCCTTTATTAAGATAACTTCAGCTTCATGGTATACATCCACCATGTATCATCTCATTTGCAGGATGTAACTCAATCTTTGTTATTTCCCCAAAACAAAAATCTGGAAATGAAAATTTTTGTTAAACCTCTACGGAACAGAAGACTGAAAGCAGCACGGTGGCTCAGTGGTTAGCAGTGCCAGGGACCAGGGCTCGATTCCAGCCTCCGCCGACTGTCTGTGTGGAGTTTGCACATTCTCCGTGTCTGTGCGGTTTTCTTTACTAGCTTCATCCCCACCTCCTTGACCTGTCCGTCTTCTCTCCCACCTATCTGCTCCACTATCTACTTATCACCACCCCACCCCTCTCTATTTATTTCAGAGCCCCCTTCCCCTACCCCATTTCTGAAGAAGGGTCAGCTTTCCTGCTCCTCTGATGCTGCCTGGCCTGCTCCAGCTCCACACCTTGTTATCAAAGGCTAATGTAGGTCCATTAAAGGCAGCGACGGGAGCTTTTGTATTCGGAAATAGAGAATACTCTTCCCAGAGGTCTGCAGAAGCATGATGTTCCAGAGAGCTTTTGATAGATTTATAGATGACATCAAAAGGATATGGACATAGCACAGGAATGTGGATTTGAAGTAGATGATTAACCATGATCTAGAATGGCAGAGCAGACTCAAAAGGGCTGAATATCATTCTCCTGCAACTGCATTCAGGAAAAAACAAATGAGGTATTATGCAAAAAGTTTTATTTAATATAAATGCATCTTTATCTTGTTTATGGTAATTAAAAAGTAAATATTGTTCTTAGATAGAAGGTATTGTAATCAATGGATAAGAGTCCAGCTGAAATATTTTCAAAATGCCACTGATAATACAGAGTATAAAGGCTTCTGAGGAAGACTGCAATACATTGGAACAGCAGGCAGTTATTAGATGGATAGGGAATTGACTGTACTCAGACACATAGTAGCAGCTCTGATTAGACACCAGAAACAAGAGAACATTGATAGGCAGTAATGTTACAAATTTAGACAAGGGTATCGATGGAGTGATTTTCAAGATAGAGGCTGACAAAGAGAATTCCAAATAAAACATTTAGCTTGACCTATACATGAAAATTAGGGTTAACATTTAGAAAATGTCATAATATGGACAGAAGCAGCATTATACAATTAGAAAGGAGCAGTTTAAAGCACATGTATATAAAGGATGATGAGCAATTAAAAAACCTGAGTTTATTATTACTGAATTATGAATCAATGCATATCCGTAATCAGTTGTAGCAGGCCTCCTTTTAAATAATAAAAAAAAAACAAGATTGGAGTGGCATCGTGGCTCAGTGGTTAGCATTACTGCCTTATGGTACCAGGGAC